CTATTTTAGGAGCCACGTATTTTATTGGGTTTGATATGATCAAATTCTATATGCCATATAGCCTGGTAGCCTGGACATATTGAGACCTATCCCCCCCCGGCTGGTAAGTTGAGGGAGGAGGAGAACGATAAGTGGAAGGAGGCTTTGTACCTTTGTTAGAAGAGACCCTCAGCTGGCAGGTGGGAAAAAGATCAAAGATCAAGGCCCATTGGTGCTGTCATCTTCCCGAACTCTGGGCCAGTCCAACAACTTGTGTGATCTTTAAAGAAGTTGTCAATAGATTGCAGTACACAGGTAGACCAGTCAGGATCACCTGTATACTTTGCCACGTCATAAATCATCCCCTTCATGTATACATATTTATATATATGTAACATGTATTTATATATACATATAATATGTTCCAACACACATGTGTATATATATATATATACATGCACAATTATACATATGTTCAAAGTATACATATACACATATATTCATATTTACATATATATAATACATATTATTACATATTTACGAATAAATATATACAAACAGTATTGTATCAGAGAAAGAGAAACAAAGACAGAGGAGAGTTAAGAGTGGATAAAAACAACGCATCTTTTCGCCGCCATCTGCAGCAGGCTCGCTTCTGCCGTTGCCGTGGCAGCCGTCGCTTCAAAGGTCCGCGGCTGCTGTTCGGACACACAACAGGCGTTGGATTTTTGTGGTGGGAAGCACCCCGCAGAAATTCGCGAACCCCGGAAATTCCTTCTGTGGATCTGTCCATTTTGGGGCCTTACCTATAACCCATAGGATCCATGGTGCTGCTATATATGGTAACATGGATCCCATCAATATACCCCCTTTATGTTAGCATATATATATATATGTATATATATATATACATACCAGCACCATGGATCCCATGGGCCCCATGGGATTCATACAGCCGTCGTTCCACGGAGGTCTTCCCAGGATCTCAATCGGGGTCGTGATCATCCCACAGCTTACGACACAGTCCAAACATGTCCAAACCATGGGATAAACATGGTCGCTCCAAACACCCAAACGGTACGTTGGGGAGGTACATTGGGATGATCATATATGACAATATTATATTATATACCAATTTATATACCAATTTTTGATATAATATATTATATACCATTTTTTTTATTTTACCCCCCCCCTTGTAGCTATATTTTTTCTATCATGGGTGGGAGCAACCCTGAAGCATCTTAAAAAGTTGCACTGGCGCTCGCCGCTGCCCGCAGCGGCTTTTACGTCAGCAAATGCCTGACCTCACATCTGCAAGAAGTTGGGGATGGTGGGATGTCTCAAAGCTTAAAAAAGGGTCTGGAAAATCTACAGTCGGTAGATTTTACAATATGGGTATGGATCAACGGATCAATACCTATTAATACCATTTTTAGTGGGATGAACATCCATTTACCAGCTATTTTGATGTTCACCAGGGGTACAAGGTTTTGACACACTGCCACACTGCCATATGCTTGCAAGGCCAACCTATGTTCAATTTCACAATCCGTTGAATCCTCCATATTTTTCGTCGGTCCACTGTTTCGATTTGTTTGGTCAGATTCATCAGGATGTGCACTCAAAAAGCAATCCGGTCTATGGAGTGCTAAATGAGCTGACAAACCACTTCCACTGACAAATTCATTGCCTGATTGGGTGCTCAACCAACCGGGCCCCAACATCTAGAAGTCCCAACGAAAGCCGCCAATCATTGCAAGATAACAAATAACAATACATATGATGGAATGAATTCCAACAACAACAATGAATCTTTTCAAGGAAGTCGAAGGACAGGACATGATAGAATCTGAAATGAAAGTCGTCCCAGCAATATTATCTGGGAAAGTTATAATAATTCACAAACTTGAAAAGTTCGGCCATTTCGGGATGATTCCTATATTAACCATGATTCCAGTGAGGGAGAACAGTGAGGTCGTTATAATTTGCCCAGATATTATTCTTTGTTTTTGTCTCGGAAAAGAATGCCCAATCCCATCCACCAGGGGGCCCTAGAAGACAGGCAGCCTCAATCTTCAACATCGCACTACTTTAACCTGACAGGGCTGTGGCCCAGTCCACTGGGTGAAGCCCCATGCTGGAAAAATGACAAAAGATACCATGTGGTGCCCCCCAACTCTAAGTTGGTGTAGGAGACAGTCTAACTATAGATATGATTGTCATAAATCTGATTTATGTATATTTGTATTAGCTATATAAACCAACTTGCCTAATTGTAGAGAGCCACCTTGTAGGATACATGACTTTAGCATGGTCAATCTTATTAGAGACCTGCATTTTGTATGTAAAAAATACTGAGTAAGTACCCCCATGGTTGGCAACAAATAATATCTTTTGCCACCAATTCACCAGTCGCCTCTCCCAAGTGCATGCTGACGACTAATTCAAAAAGTACAGCAACTCGGACGATAGATAACGCCAAGATAAAGAAAACACGCATTCACATCCCAATCCATGCTCCTCGTATCATATAGTTGGTCGAAGGGTTATGAGAGTGCGTCCCTGGTAGGGATTGGGGAAGGTTTGTTTTTTGGTTTTTGTTTTTTGCAACTTTGGTTTGCATTCTGAATTTGCATTTTTGTGCATTCCTTTTTTCGCATTTTTGTGCATGTTGTTTTAAAAATTCCAAGCGCCTCCTTGGAAGGTATCAAAAACCTAGAAAAACCTAGAGAAACCCTAGACATACCTAGAAAAAATAGGGAAATATCCGAAACAAAAACATGCAGAAACAGCGTTTTTGTTTCGAGTTTTAATGTCTTTTTTGCTTGTGTTGCATCTTTTTTGCAATTTGTGTTGCATTTGTTTTGCATGTTTTTCGCATTTTTTTTGCAAATTTCCTGGTGTTTTTTGTATTTTTCCAGCTTTCCCAGAGGTCCTGCTTGGAAATTGCAAATTTGCAAAAACAAAACGCGAAAAAAACATGCGAACAAATTGAAAAAACATGCAAAAAAGTTGCGATTCCACGATTCAGCAGAACATGCTGCAAATCCAATGCAACAAAATGCAGATGAAATGTCTCAAAGCTTAAAAAAGGGTCTGGAAAATCTACAGTCGGTAGATTTTACAATATGGGTATGGATCAACGGATCAATACCTATTAATACCATTTTTAGTGGGATGAACATCCATTTACCAGCTATTTTGATGTTCACCAGGGGTACAAGGTTTTGACACACTGCCACACTGCCATATGCTTGCAAGGCCAACCTATGTTCAATTTCACAATCCGTTGAATCCTCCATATTTTTCGTCGGTCCACTGTTTCGATTTGTTTGGTCAGATTCATCAGGATGTGCACTCAAAAAGCAATCCGGTCTATGGAGTGCTAAATGAGCTGACAAACCACTTCCACTGACAAATTCATTGCCTGATTGGGTGCTCAACCAACCGGGCCCCAACATCTAGAAGTCCCAACGAAAGCCGCCAATCATTGCAAGATAACAAATAACAATACATATGATGGAATGAATTCCAACAACAACAATGAATCTTTTCAAGGAAGTCGAAGGACAGGACATGATAGAATCTGAAATGAAAGTCATCCCAGCAATATTATCTGGGAAAGTTATAATAATTCACAAACTTGAAAAGTTCGGCCATTTCGGGATGATTCCTATATTAACCATGATTCCAGTGAGGGAGAACAGTGAGGTCGTTATAATTTGCCCAGATATTATTCTTTGTTTTTGTCTCGGAAAAGAATGCCCAATCCCATCCACCAGGGGGCCCTAGAAGACAGGCAGCCTCAATCTTCAACATCGCACTACTTTAACCTGACAGGGCTGTGGCCCAGTCCACTGGGTGAAGCCCCATGCTGGAAAAATGACAAAAGATACCATGTGGTGCCCCCCAACTCTAAGTTGGTGTAGGAGACAGTCTAACTATAGATATGATTGTCATAAATCTGAGTTATGTATATTTGTATTAGCTATATAAACCAACTTGCCTAATTGTAGAGAGCCACCTTGTAGGATACATGACTTTAGCATGGTCAATCTTATTAGAGACCTGCATTTTGTATGTAAAAAATACTGAGTAAGTACCCCCATGGTTGGCAACAAATAATATCTTTTGCCACCAATTCACCAGTCGCCTCTCCCAAGTGCATGCTGACGACTAATTCAAAAAGTACAGCAACTCGGACGATAGATAACGCCAAGATAAAGAAAACACGCATTCACATCCCAATCCATGCTCCTCGTATCATATAGTTGGTTGAAGGGTTATGAGAGTGCGTCCCTGGTAGGGATTGGGGAAGGTTTGTTTTTTGGTTTTTGTTTTTTGCAACTTTGGTTTGCATGTTTTTTCTATGGCAGGTTCATTTTGCATTCTGAATTTGCATTTTTGTGCATTCCTTTTTTCGCATTTTTGTGCATGTTGTTTTAAAAATTCCAAGCGCCTCCTTGGAAGGTATCAAAAACCTAGAAAAACCTAGAGAAACCCTAGACAAACCTAGAAAAAATAGGGAAATATCCGAAACAAAAACATGCAGAAACAGCGTTTTTGTTTCGAGTTTTAATGTCTTTTTTGCTTGTGTTGCATCGTTTTTGCAATTTGTGTTGCATTTGTTTTGCATGTTTTTCGCATTTTTTTTGCAAATTTCCTGGTGTTTTTTGTATTTTTCCAGCTTTCCCAGAGGTCCTGCTTGGAAATGGCAAATTTGCAAAAACAAAACGCGAAAAAACATACGAACAAATTGAAAAAACATGCAAAAAAGTTGCGACTCCACGATTCAGCAGAACATGCTGCAAATCCAATGCAACAAAATGCAGATGAAAAGCGCAAATCCACTCCAAACATCAAATATCTCAAAAAAAACAAATCGGACATGCAAAATTATTTCAAAAAAATGTAAAAACCCATTCACTTTCAACATCCCAGTCTCTATACCAAACAAATTCTCATAATTAAAGGGAAACACAATCCTTGGTTTGAAGGGACGTCTTCACAGGCAATTCCTAGATGTGGGATTTAAAACGATGATCAAACCATTCGACACAAACAACAGAAATATATACAAATACAGTTGATGAAACAAAGTAACACAGACCAAACATGCTGTAGCTGTCTACAATTGCAAGCCGTCCAGCCCTTAGGGCCCTTGGATAGAGGGCTCCGCTGAAACTGCCAGGCAGCTGATGTTCCAAGAGTCTGCGGTAGTGACCATCAGCTAAGAGAAGATCGTCATGACTCCCCTCTTCCACCACCCTTCCATCAGCCTCAGGACCGACTTGGGACCCCAAGTATAACGGCCTTCCAAAGTCACCAAATCTCCCACCATCATGGCGTTTTGTCATTTTCCGTGAATCATTAAAACCTGCAATGCTGCTTTCCATATCCCAAATGCTCCATGGAACAAATTCCATATTTACCAACATGTACCCGAACAATTCATCACCCCGTCATGCAGGTCAAAATACCTGCAACATGTGTTGGTTTCCAAAAAACACGACCATCCACGCCCTTCCGCCGCGTGACGATGACGCAAATCTTGTCGGCCTTCTTCACAGTCGAGAGGCGGTGCGCCACGATGACCACCGTCATGCTCTTTTGCGCCACCAAATTGTTGATGGCAATCCTAAGTTACCCTCTGGTAAACATACAAAAAGCTATTGAAAATGGCCATAGAAATAGTGGATTTTCCCATTAATAGCATGGTGATTTTCCATAGCTATGTTAAATTACCAGAGGGTATCTGGTTGGTGGTGAAACATATTAGTCAATGGGAAGGATTATTCCATATATTATGGAAAATAAAACATGTTCCAAACCACCAACCAGTTATGTGTTGAGTATAATCAAATAATCATTACTGGTTGGTGGTATACCTACCCCTCTGAAAATTATAAGTCCCAATCTATGGGAAAATAAGAAATGTTCCAAACCACCAATCCTAAGTTATGTTGGAAACACAAAGCAATGTCGGTTGATGTATATATAATGGCCACCGTCATGTTTGTTGATGGCAAACAAATTGTTATATAATTGTATAATTGAATCATCATTATACAATCGTGTGTTACCGATATATTTACTGAAAAACACATAAAGCATCGTTGTTCTGACAAACACGTGAATGTTTGGATGGTGATTTGCTGCGGGAGACGCTGGGAATTTGCAGATTGCTTGTGTGAGACATGGGGTGCCATATGTATATATATATAGTATATCCACATAAATTCCACATATATACATATGTAAATATATATATATATATATAATATTTGTCAATATTGTGAACACTTTATGGTTTCTATGTATTATAAAATTGTTTAAATGGTTTCTCCAGGTTCATGGCAAAAGGTGGACATTTGGTTGATTAAGGCTAAGGGAAACATTGGAACTTCACAGAGAAATATTTTGGAATGTTTGGGTGAAGATCCATGATAAGGATGCCTAACATGCAAATAGTAACAGCGGTGGTTTTTGTGTTTTGGTTTGATTGGTCAGAATCGAGATGATTTGATAAAACAAATGCCATTATGGGTGGCCAATGGTGGGCTTAGACACGTTTCTTTTTAAATAAGGTTTGACATATTTTGAAGAAAATTAAGGAACATAGACTTTAAATCAGGATGGGGAAGGAAACACCAAAAGAACAAGAACTGTTGTCAAAAACAAGTGTAGATGCCACATAAGGGCCCTACAGAAAACATTGGACTATGAGCCTGGACAAACCAAAAACATATCATTTGAATAAATGTCAGCGTTTTCATAAAGACTATGGTTTCAAGTCGGTTGTTTTGAAATAGAAGCACTACAAAAAAAACGAAGAAAAATGAATGAATCTACTTTTGCAAGGACCAAAGATTCAGTTGTCCAGTGTCGAACACATGTTTTCAACATGAATATGATGCAAGCTTGAAAGACCAAACAACTCACGCAAACAAGTTTGGAATGCAACTTACTCTTGGACGGGTGATTTGTTTGCGGGGTTAAACAAATGCACAAACAATTAACTTGTTCCATGATGTCATTTGTTGTCTTTTGTTTCCTCTATGTTTTTTTTTTGCTGTTCCTTTCTTTTCTCTCTTTCCAATACCAATCTTCTCTTTTTCTTTATCGTTTCCTTTTCTCGTTGTCTAAAATACTATTTTGAGGAGTCCTCTGAATTGATAAATGTTGGGTTCGTTGATCCGGTATTGCAAGTACATCTTAAGCAGTTGGATCTTAAGCAGTTGGAAGTCCTTCAAATCCATTTGACATGGGCCATGCCTCTCATTAAATCTAGTAATTTGATAAATATAGTGAATATACTGGTATACGATATATAAAACCAATTAATGCCCAAACATGGGGCTTGCATGGAAAAAGCTGTAAACATTATCAAACTTGTTGCCAGAAACTCTGACTCTATTCAATCCGTGTTTTTCATTTGGATGACTTTGAAGTGCGTCATCCAAAAAGTAATACTGGATGTGCAGTCAGAAGAAATACTAATTAGTCATAGTCCTTAGTCATAGCCTGCAATTGTTTGTTCTTCTCTCTTTTCACCCTTGTTTTCCACTCAATCTTCCCTAATGTTCCTCATTTTTGAAAGAGCATCCTCAATTTTCAAGCTTTGAGGATGGAGGAAAATTGCAAAAACCTATTTTTTCAAGACCATGCCACATCATGCCACTATAAAACCACCATTCGCCACCCAAAATGATGGACTTTGCCAGCAAAATCATCCCCGATCTGCGGTGGGCCATGGCTCAGCACCAATCGCAGTGTTGATACTTGATTGCTTAGACGTTTTCTGAGCAAGGGTAGTAAATGGAATATATATATATATAGGTTATATAAATATATGTATATTGTTTATAGAGATAAGAACATTAATTTTATAAATCTAGTACAAGTGGTACACCATAGTCCACTATCTTCAAGGTCACTTCGTTAAGGGCTTCAGGACTTCAAAGTCAAATCATCAAAGAATCAAAGTAAAACAGCAAAAACACAAGATTGGTTTGGGTTGAAGGCGACATATGCTGGGACTTGGCAAAACAAAGATCTTGGATTTGCTCAAGGGGTCCGAAAAAATGAAAAATACTTGCTATAGATTCTTGGATTTCCAATTCAGAAAATATCAAATCACCTTGAGCAAATAAAGAATACATTCAAGAAAAAAACAGATTTGACCTTTAAACACGTGATGAAACCAACAAAAGAGCACCTACATACAATCTTGGGTTGAACCTTCCAAGGCTGTGAACTGCCTTCAGTTGGATAAGCTTTGGTATAGGACAGCTGTTTTCCAAATTGCAGGATTGCTGACCAATGCCAAAATTAAGAGTAACATTTCAAACAAAAAACATAATTCTACACCAATGTCCTAGTTTTGTAAAAAAAAACACCAGTGAATCACCGGTTCTCATTCGTCATTGATCAGGAATTGTCCAGCCAAAAAAAACACAGAAACCCATGCTTAATCATACTTAACCATGGTTAACCTACTAAACTAACTAACAATACTTGACCATGATTAAACAAAAACATGTTATCGTCTCTTGGGGATCCTCCGATCGCAAGTGGTGCCGCCGATCCGTGGCTTGTTCCATTAATGGTAGTTCACTAACCGGTAAGTTACCCGGCTATCATAAGTCGGCTATATATATATATATATATATCTCATTAAGATAATGTTATACATTTAAAAAAACCATTTGAATCCGCATGTTTCCGTCTTAAATCAGCATTTTCCCACTGGTTATCACCACCTCTCGAACTTGGAAGATGATCCATACGGGATGGTTAGATTTACTGGGTGCTTTTTCGCCTACCCCTCTGAAAAATGATGGACTTCGGACCAGTTGGGATGATTAGTCATTCCCAATATTAATGGAAAGTCATAAAATTCCATGGTTGCAAAGCACCTTAACCAGTTTACCATATTCCCATTGTTGTTGGTTTATACCCTATTTTTAACCACTATTAACCATCACTATTAACCAGATATGGAAAATCACCATTTATAATGGGTAAGCCATAGAATTCAGCCACTTAGAAGGCAACTTAACCAACCACTTGGGGGTCCCATCGTTCCACATTTAACGGCCAAAGCTCTGAATCTGAAGCTCGCTTTCGGCATCTAAGGCACTGGTGGCTTCGTCCAACAATAGGACCTGTTGGACAAAGCGGAAGCGGCGGTGCATTTTGGTGCCCAAGATCGAAATCGCTAGGGTTTGTTTGTATAGTATACCTAGCATTTATATGCATTTATTGTAACTATATGTATGTAATATAATTAATATAATGATAGTTGGATCAATTTATAAACAAACTTAAGATTAGTTTGCACGACATTGTACATGGTTAACCCCCAAATATAACTATCATTTCGTTAGGAAACTCCTACTAGCTCCAAACCGCTCCTTCCTAACCACTGGATAGCATTAAAATCACCATTCTAATCCCATCTAATCTCTCTAGCGTATATTCCATTCTTTTCCAATAATTATTCCCATCATCAAGCATCATTTTCATTTCCGAATCCATAGATGAAGCAATTTTTCTGCACTGCCACAGTGCCCACATCACCACCCATCCCCTCACCCCGCCTGCGGCTTCCGTACCAAGGCCCTCGCGATGGCGATGCGCTGCTTCTGGCCGCCACTCAGCTGTACGCCGCGCTCCCCGACGCAGGTGTCGTAGCCCTCGGTCCTGTGTGGGGAAGATCTCTGATACCCGAGCCGAGAGTAATGGTATTTTATGGCATTTCATGGTATTTTACTGGGTTTTTAGTGGGTTTTTAGTCATATTGGATTTATGGGATTTATGGAAGCTTAGGCATTTTGATGGGATTTCAATGGGATTTTTCATGGGATTTCTTCTGTGACTTTTTCATGAGATTCATAGGATTTCGAGTTGATGGCCTCAGTTCCTCAGCGAACTAGTGCTGTGCTGCCACCCTGACTGGGGGACGCCAAATTGCCTTAGCAGGTTTAATCCTATCGAAGTCTGGTTGTTCCGGCCGCACATATGTTGACCTACGTCAAACGTTGGACGCATCGACTTAAGTTTATATAAAGCGAACACAGCAAGATTCACATCAGAAACTTCTGATGGTTTCTGATGTGCCCATAGTGTATGGTCTTCACATGGAGCCCGTGTGTCTGAACATCATCTTTAGCAGGGAATACATAGCAATAAAATAAGGAACAGCCTCCCTCCATAGGAGCTCCAGAGCACTGTCTGAGCCATTGGAATCTACGGTGAAGTCTGCTGACATTGCCTTCTCCGTCAATTGGGTGCACTTCCCAAATCCTTTTCCATTAAAAGAATAACAAACCCAAACTTCCGATGCCAATTGTCAGTTCAACTACTGGAAGACGGATAGAGCACCACTATGATTGGTCATGCAGTTTTGTAATGTGTTATTTCCCGCCATACCCTATGTTTACATCTAGTCTAATCTAAAATAAAGTTGTATGATATACAACGTTATATACCTCATGGTTACATTTTTTCTCTCTTTGTCAAACATTTTAAGTTGAAAACAAAGAAAACAAAGAAAACAACCTGGATGTGGTAAACATACAAAAAAAACTATGGGCAATCCCAGCTATGGATGTGACTGCCATCATTCATCCAAGCGTCATCTGCTGAATAAAGTGATGTGCATTCGCCAAACACGCCGCTTGCACCACGTCCGGCGATAGCTCATCACTGCGTGCCTGGCTGAGATGATCGAAGACGACCCCCTGGGTTACCTTTCTGAAAGGTGAAGGGCCACCACGAAAAACCACGGGGAAAATTGCAATTTAACCAACAAGAAATAGGGATTGAATGAAATTAAAGCTGATTTATGATAGTTAAGTTGAGTTATAACTTGTTTGACTAGGGTCTATAGGGGATATAGAAGATTATAGAAGTATAGTATTCAGATTTCATGGAGGCCTTATTTTCACCAACAAACATCACATTTTTCCACCGGGGGACCTCTATGCAGAAGTCATGGTTCAGTCCCAGTAATATCCGATGCCGGGCCGGTGCGAAGCGCCAAGATCGCGCCGGGGATGTGATGCCCTGAATTTGGAAAGATACCTTTTTTGAAGTTCCCTTCACACTCATAGTTTTGGATGGTTCTTTCAGCCACAAAACACATATTAATCAAGCGGCAATGAAACAAACCAATGAGTTTTGCCTGCAGTTTCTATTTTTGTCATGCTTCAAGCTGGAAGGGTGGCTGGGTACCGAAACCAAGCCGAGACCGCATTTAATCCATGGATTCCACTTTTTTGAGATGCTGTTTTTCAGACTGACGCATACAAGTCGCAATCATGAGCCTATGTTTGTAATGAGTACAGTACATATATATATATATACAATATTACATATAATATTATATACTGGTTGGTGGTTTCAACCCCTCTGAAAAATATTAGTCAATGGGAAGGATTATCCCATATATTAGGGAAAATAAAATATGTTCCAAACCACCAACCAGTATAAGTTTACATAATTTTAGTTGGGACACCCTCTTTCAACCGGTGATTTCACACAGTGTGACACCTTTTTTTGCGCATTTGTGCCACCAAGTGACAGGGTGATCTTCAGGGAGACCGTAGAGGATGTTTTCGCCTTCGGTTTGTTTAAAGGCACCGGGGAAGCCGTATGTTGGCCGTATTTGGAAAGCGAAATGGAAGTTTCAGGCTTGAAACTGTATCAAGTTTGGGGCTAAAGCTTGAGACAACCCCATTTCTGAGAAATGACTCCATCTATCAACTTCAAAAACACGCCGAAAGGTTTTTTTGAGCAGTGCCCGAATCGTTCAAACAGTTCATAGCTGAATCTCCAGATACTCCCGCGGACAGCGTCCACTAGACATACCCAGTACCAAGAGCTTCAGAGGTAGGCTGTTGCAGTATGGGATCACCAGCTTTCACCCCCAACTGTTCACCCCTTGACTCGCGGTCCCGCTCAATGGCAAGTTTCGGATGCTGCATCCGAAGAGAACGGGCTCTTGACTCACGGCCGAAACCTGATGCCAAGAGGCAAAAGTTGAGTCATAGACATCAGTTGATGTACTCAGCAGCTACTAACTACGTACCACACTGACAAATACCGTTGGTCTGAGTTTGTTTGCTGCTGATGATAAATCCTGACATCCGCTGGATGGTCTACGGACGAATGGGTGAGATTTCTTCAAGTTGCACTTCACCAAACGGCTTCGTCTCGGCAAACTTCAACGCATATTCAATCAGAAAAAACCCTCCGGTAATCAAATGTGGCCATGGACAACTGCCTATAAATTAATGAACGTTTTAATCCAAAAATCATCTACTATGTGTAAATGGGTAATGTTCAATTGCGACGTTTGAAAAAACCGGAGAGTAATCACGGATGATCTATAACATCCAATATAGTTGATCTGCAAGTGAAGTTCAACGCCTGGTGGCAACAAACGGTATAAATTAAACATATGCCGCTTTAGAAGTCTTTAGAGCAACTAAGCCCAGCTTTAACAACGGCACGCACCATGAGATGATCAAAAAAAATGCAACTTGGAGGTTTTGAAACATGGGGTATGCCCGGACTTCGACGGCAATTCTAATAGGGACATGATAATCAAGCATCAAATGTTGGGGTAGCCTCTGGTAAACTAACATAACTATGGAAAATCACCATTGTTAATGGGAAAATCCACTATTTCTATGGTCATTTTCAATAGCTATGTTAAATTACCAGAGGGTAGCCTATTTTTGGAAACACCCACATGTTTTTTTCCATTGTTCATCCAAGAAACCAGCTCGCTGTAGTTCTTTCCGTATTCCATGACATCCTGAGCTCGAAACAACGTCCGAAAGTTGGCATGGGACGGCACGGGTGACCACAACAGGAACACTATATCTGACAGGACAACATCGATGTCAAACCGAAAACAAGTGGATGTCAAAACATGTCAAAAACTGTCACAATCCAATTGACATCTGACATGGTGGATGAATGTTTGTTGGGCTTTCCAGTTTTGTTGGATTTTTTTCCATGTGGGAAAAGCAATTTTTGTTGCGAAAAACATGATCCCCAGGTGGTAAACCCCATCCAATGATTGGTAACAATTCTTGGTTCCGGACTTCTACGACACGCACATTTGCTGTGAGCATAGGAACAAGAACTACAACTAAAGTACTGGATGTAAAAATACTTATAGTTGTTAGTAACTACAACAAAAACGTGTCATTCACTTGTTACTAAATAATGATACTCAGCAAATAACAATAGTATTTAGTATATCTACATATATCTATCTCATACGACTATAACCAAATTTTCATAGTGTTATATAATATATATATATAACTATTAACTACTAGAACTAAATTCGATGATGTTAAAACTAATTAACCAATGATAACTTCATAACTGTAGGATACCATGACAGGAGACCCCCAGGCTCCAACCGTGACGAGACGCGCGGTGATCCAGCCGCACTTGACCTTCATGAGGGACATAGAGCCTTGCAGCGCAGGGGCCGGGCCAAAGGTTTCTCAGCTCCGGCTTTCAACACAAACAACAACCAAACAGAGGATCAAATGATTAGATAATGTATGTATGTATGTATGTATGTATGTATGTATGTATGTATGTATGTATAGAGTTGATAGGGGATTTTGACTATAGTTGAGGTGATATTGATATCTAGTAATAATGGATATTTCATCTCCAGCAAATACGACTTTACCCACCCATGCTGCGGATCAAAGCTTTGGCGTCATGGTGAGCTAAGCGAAGCGTAGACCGAGCGTAGACCGACGTTCATCCCAACTCTGGTGAAAGAATCTGACTGTCATTGGCTGAAAATTTCTGGTGAAAGCTACTAGCGACCATTTCTGGTTGGTGGTTGAGCCCTACCCCTCTGAAAAATGATGGACTTCGTCAGTTGGGATGATGAAATTCCCAATATTAATGGAAACATCAAATTCCATGGTTCCAGTCACCACCAACCAGCCCATCATCTCCATAGCTTGGATCATCTTGAATCTTAGGTCCCAAAAACAAAGCCTGACATCACACTCCTCAAATCACCTCGAAAAAAAATCCAAAAACCTTGCCTGAATAAAATCCTGATAACCCAGAAAATCATCCGAAAATCACCTGAAAGAAAAGAACGAAAAGCACCCGAGAAATCCTGAAAACCACATTAAATCATCCGAAAATCACCCCAAAAATCCAGCCCATCCCCCATCCCATCCCGGCCCAAAACGGGCACCACCAAGGACCGCACCGTTGGATCAACGCCACACAGGTGGACTTGCCACCACCGCTGGGACCGACCAAGGCCAAGGCAGTGCCCGATGGCACCTGGAGACCTTGGAGCTATGGAAAGATAATCATCATATGTAGGATATTTTTGAATATAATATGTATATATATATAATACATACATACATATATATATAATACATACATGTATATATAATTATCATGCTATATATATATATATGTATTGTTAACATTTCATATATCATATATATATATATATACATTATACTGTATATATACCATTTAATTGAATATATATTATATACTATATGATATATATATATATCATAGATATATGATGTGTTACAATGTTACATGATATATGATATGTTCACAAAGATATTAGCATGATATAATAACATGATTCTCTGGACAAATGACATTATATATGTTACATGTACATCAATATATTAGGTACACACAATTTACCCATGCTTCTCAGGATTTTGCTAGCCTTTCCACAGCTATACTGTGTATATATATATATATACATATCTAAACAAGTATAGCATATCGTTATGAATAAAACGTATATATATATATATTGAACAATATATGTGTGGACATTTGAACAATATAAGAGTTAACAAAATACAATAATTACTTTACTTCGTGTGATCCCCACCATGACATTTATACATGTTCTTACTGGCACATCTTCTGGCATTCTATCTGACATATCTTCTGACATTCTGTTTGGCATTCTATCTGGCATATCTTCTGGCATATCTTCTGGCATTCTATCTGACATATCTTCTGACATTCTATTTGGCATTCTATCTGGCATATCTTCTGGCATATCTTCTGGCATTCTATCTGACATATCTTCTGACATTCTATTTGGCATTCTATCTGACATATCTTCTGACATTCTATTTGGCATTCTATCTGGCATATCTTCTGGCATATCTTCTGGCAAATCTTCTGGCATTCTATCTGGCATATCTTCTGGCATTCTATCTGACATATCTTCTGGCATTCTATCTGGCATATATTCTGACATATCTTCTGGCATTCTATCTGGCATTCTATCTGGCATATCTTCTGGCATTCTATCTGGCATTCTATCTGGCATTCTATCTGGCATATCTTCTGAAATATCTTCTGGCATATCTATCTGGCATATCTTCTGGCATATTTTCTGGCATTCTAACTGGCAAATCTTCTGGCACTCTATCTGACATTTTATCTTCCTACACGAGGTCCGGCAGGGAACACTGGGCGTGGATGGTCGTGGTTGAGGTCCGGCAGGGAACACTGGGCGGGGATACTCGCGGTTGAGGTCCGGCAGGGAACACTTGGCATGGATACTCGCGGTTGAGGTCCGGCAGGGAACACTGGGCGTGGATGGTCGTGGTTGAGGTCCGGCAGGGAACACTGGGCGTGGATGGTCGTGGTTGAGGTCCGGCAGGGAACACTGGGCGTGGATGGTCGTGGTTGAGGTCCGGCAGAGAACACTGTGGATCGCCGGTCGCAGTTGAGCAAGGACGACGAGGACGACGAGGACGACGAGGACGACGAGGACGACAAGGACGACAAGGATGACAAGGAGGACGAGGAGGAGGAGGAGAGGAGGACGAGGCAGGAGGAGGCGGAGGAGGAGGAGAAGGAGGAGGAGGAGGAGAAGGAGGAGGAGGCAACTGACATAAAATCTAACAACCCTCACCTGGCAGGTGGGGAATTACAATTGTAATACCCGCGACCCCGGCCTTCGCCAAGGCCGGGGCGGCGCCTGGGACCACCGCAGGTGTGGAACTTTTCCGCGCGGGCTTTAAGTGTGCGCGGCAGCTTCCACCAAGCCTGGCTGCAGCCTTTGCCGGTCCAGGGTTGCAGCCTGGCCCTTTGCCTGCACATCCCTCGCGGCAGCTTCCACCAAGCTCCTGGCCGTCAGCGTTCCAGCATTGCAGCCTGCCCTTTGCCTGCACATAGCCCTCTCTTGTTAGGGCATTCGAGCCTACCGTTTGCCAGGCTTCAAACCCATAAAATGCCTCAAACCCTCCTTTGCCTGCACATAGCCCTCTCTCGTTAGGGCATTCGAGCCTGCCGTTTGCCAGCCTTCAAACCCCTAAAACCCCTCAAACCCTCCGCGGCAGCTTCCACCAAGGTTGCAGCCTGCCCTTTGCCTGCACATCCCTCGCGGCAGCTTCTACCAAGCTCCTTGGCGGTCAGCGTTCCAGCATTGCAGCCTGCCCTTTGCCTGCACTTAGCCCTCTCTTGTTCGGCATTCGAGCCTGCCGTTTGCCAGCTTCTACCAAGCTCCTGGCCGTCAGCGTTCCAGCATTGCAGCCTGCCCTTTGCCTGCACATAGCCCTCTCTTGTTAGGGCATTCGAGCCTGCCGTTTGCCAGGCTTCAAACGCTTAAAACCCTTAAAACCCTCCTTTGCCTGCACATAGCCTTCTCTCGTTAGGGCATTCGAGCCTGCCGTTTGCCAGGCTTCAAACGCTTAAAACCCTTAAAACCCTCCTTTGCCTGCACATAGCCCTCTCTCGTTAGGGCATTCGAGCCTGCCGTTTACCGGCTTCAAACCCATAAAATGCTTCAAACCCTCCTTTGCCTGCACATAGCCCTCTCTCGTTAGGGCATTCGAGGCAGCTGCCACCACGCCCTCTGGCCGGCAGCCTTTGCTGTTCCAGGGTTGCAGCCTGCCCTTTGCCTGCACATCCCTCGCGGCAGCTGCCACCAAGCCCTCTGGCCGTCAGCGTTCCAGCATTGCAGCCTGCCCTTTGCCTGCACTGAGCCCTCTCTTGTTCCCCAACAAGCCCAACACGCGCCACTGCCGCACGCAAAAGCCACCACAAGGCCACAGCAATGGCTCAAGGGCACCCCACGGCCGCAGCAATGGCTTCTTATACGCGTTCAAGGCTGCCGTTTGCCAGGCCTCAAACGCTCCAAAACCCTCCAAACCCTCCAAAAGTCCGGCCAGCTCCGCAAGGAAAAGGTACCCCAACAAGCCCAACACGCGCCACTCCCGCACGCAAAAGCCACGACAAGGCCACAGCAATGGCTCAAGAGCACCTCTGGCCGTCAGCGTTCCAGCATTGCAGCCTGCCCTTTGCCTGCACTGAGCCCTCTCTTGTTCCCAACAAGCCCAACACGCGCCACTGCCGCACGCAAAAGCCACCACAAGGCCACAGCAATGGCTCAAGGGCACCCCACGGCCGCCGCAATGGCTTCTTATACGCGTTCAAGGCTGCCGTTTGCCAGGCCTCAAACGCTCCAAAACCCTCCAAACCCTCCAAAAGTCCGGCCAGCTCCGCAGGGAACAGGTACCCCAACAAGCCCAACACGCGCCCCTCTCGCACGCAAAAGCCACCACAAGGCCACAGCAATGGCTCAAGAGCACCCCACGGCCGCAGCAATGGCTTCTTTTATACGCGTTCAAGGCTGCCATTTGCCAGGCCTCAAACTCTCCATACCTTCCAAAACCCTCCAAACCCTCCAAAAGTCCGGCCAGCTCCGCAGGGGAAAGGTACCCCAACAAGCCCAACACGCGCCACTCCCGCACGCAAAAGCCACCACAAGGCCACAGCAATGGCTCAAGAGCACCCCACGGCCGCAGCAATGGCTTCTTATACGCGTTCAAGGCTGCCGTTTGCCAGGCCTCAAACGCTCCAAAACCCTCCAACCCCTCCAAAAGTCCGGCCAGCTCCGCAGGGAACAGGTACCCCAACAAGCCCAACACGCGCCACTCTCGCACGCAAAAGCCACCACAAGGCCACAGCAATGGCTCAAGAGCACCCCACGGCCGCAGCAATGGCTTCTTTTATACGCGTTCAAGGCTGCCGTTTGCCAGGCCTCAAACCCCCCAAAACCCTCCAAACCCTCCAAAAGTCCGGCCAGCTCCGCAGGGAAAAGGTACCCCAACAAGCCCAACACGCGCCACTGCCGCACGCAAAAGCCACCACAAGGCCACAGCAATCGCTCAAGGGCACCCCACGGCCGCAGCAATGGCTTCTTATACGCGTTCAAGGCTGCCGTTTGCCAGGCCTCAAACGCTCCAAAACCCTCCAAAACCCTCCAAAACCCTCCAAAAGTCCGGCCAGCTCCGCAGGGAAAAGGTACCCCAACAAGCCCAACACGCGCCACTGCCGCACGCAAAAGCCACCACAAGGCCACAGCAATGGCTCAAGGGCACCCCACGGCCGCAGCGATGGCTTCTTATACGCGTTCAAGGCTCCCGTTTGCCAGGCCTCCAACGCTCCAAAACCCTCCAAAACCCTCCAAACCCTCCAAAAGTCCGGCCAGCTCCGCAAGGAAAAGGTACCCCAACAAGCCCAACACGCGCCACTCCCGCACGCAAAAGCCACCACAAGGCCACAGCAATGGCTCAAGAGCACCTGTGGCCGTCAGCGTTCCAGCATTGCAGCCTGCCCTTTGCCTGCACTGAGCCCTCTCTTGTTCCCCAACAAGCCCAACACGCGCCACTGCCGCACGCAAAAGCCACCACAAGGCCACAGCAATGGCTCAAGGGCACCCCACGGCCGCAGCAATGGCTTCTTATACGCGTTCAAGGCTGCCGTTTGCCAGGCCTCAAACCCTCCAAAACCCTCCAAACCCTCCGAAAAGTCCGGCCAGCTCCGCAGGGAACAGGTACCCCAACAAGCCACTCCCGCACGCAAAAGCCACCACAAGGCCACAGCAATGGCTCAAGGGCACCCCACGGCCGCAGCAATGGCTTCTTATACGCGTTCAAGGCTGCCGTTTGCCAGGCCTCAAACGCTCCAAAACCTCCAAACCCTCCAAAAGTCCGGCCAGCTCCGCAGGGAACAGGTACCCCAACAAGCCCAACACGCGCCACTCTCGACTGCCGCACGCAAAAGCCACCACAAGGCCACAGCAATGGCTCAAGGGCACCCCACGGCCGCAGCAATGGCTTCTTATACGCGTTCAAGGCTGCCGTTTGCCAGGCCTCAAACCCTCCAAAACCCTCCAAACCCTCCAAACCCTCCAAAAGTCCGGCCAGCTCCACCCCAACAAGCCCAACACGCGCCACTCTCGCACGCAAAAGCCACCACAAGGCCACAGCAATGGCTCAAGAGCACCCCACGGCCGCAGCAATGGCTTCTTATAGGCGTTCAAGGCTGCCGTTTGCCAGGCCTCAAACCCTCCATACCTTCCAAAACCCTCCAAACCCTCCAAAAGTCCGCCCAGCTCCGCAGGGAAAAGGTACTCCAACAAGCCCAACACGCGCCACTCCCGCACGCAAAAGCCACCACAAGGCCACAGCAATGGCTCAAGGGCACCTTCCGGCCGCAGCAATGGCTTCTTATAGAATGGGCTAGCGCCCAGGTGCCGCCGACCCCCCTAATTGGAGGGGGGGTACTGTAGAGAGAGAGAGGGAGACGGACAGCAAGACAGACATATGGCCGTTTGCTTCTCAAGCCTGTGGCCTTGTCGTCGCTTTTGCGTGCGGGCGTGGCGCCTGTTGGGGTACCTTTTGCATCGGAGTTGGGCGGACTTTTGGAGGAGTTGGAAGGTTTGGAGGGTTTAACGCCTATAAGAAGCCATTGCTGCGGCCGGGGGGTGCCCTTCAGCCATTGCTGTGGCCTTGTGGTGGCTTTTGCGTGCGGGAGTGGCGCGTGTTGGGCTTGTTGGGGTACCTTTTCCCTGCGGAGCTGGGCAGACTTTTGGAGGGTTTGGAGGGTTTGGAGGGTTTGAGGCCTGGCAAACGGCAGCCTTGAACGCCTATAAGAAGCCATTGCTGCGGCCGGGGGGTGCCCTTGAGCCATTGCTGTGGCCTTGTGGTGTTTTGCCTGCGGGAGTGGCGCGTGTTGGGCTTGTTGGGGTACCTTTTCCCTGCGCAATGGCTTCTCCAAACCCTCCAAACCTTCCAAACCCTCCAAAAGTCCGCCCAGCTCCGCAGGGAAAAGGTACCCCAACACCCAACAGGCTTGAGAAGCAAACGGCCATATGTCTGTCTTGCTGTCCGTCTCCCTCTCTCTCTCTACAGTACCCCCCCTCCAATTAGGGGGGTCGGCGGCACCTGGGCGCTAGCCCATTCTATATAGATTATATAATCACCCTCTCTAAATGGAGGTAAAAATACATTTTTTACTCGTTTTTTTGTAAGAAAATCAATGAAAATAATCTATAAATTAGTGTTCCACTTCCATGTTTGACTGATGACTGCCAGGGGCCCTCGGATTGGGCCAGGATACAGCATGGACAGGAGAACGGGTCCCCATCCACCCTCCCGGTGTTCCTGCCGCGTTACCAGGGTGGGTCAAGTCAATTTGGGGTTCCAATGGCTGGAACGTAAAGAGATAGTAAGTGACCACTCGTTGAATAGGAGTTGACCTTTCTATCTTTTTTGGATTTTTTTGGGGGTTGCTGTACTGTAGGTTATCCAGTCTTGAAGTTGATGATCTTGGGCCATCAATGGGGGTTCGCGCCGATGAAATGAAATAAAAGATGGGTGACTGGGCCCACGGGGCCCGGGGCCCATATCCCGTGAGGGCGAGATCAGAATGATCGAAACAAGTGGGATTCAAAAAGTCCGAATTTTGGGTGTTTCACATAGGCTACTGAGCTACTTGGCAATGACTGTTCGTCCCGGCTATTTGACGCGGCCAAGCAGGCGACTATGAGCCCAATCATTTCAATCCTCTTAGGGCTCTCATATGCTTGTTGCTGGGGGGAAAGAAGGGAGCAGAATCCATGAGTAAGTACAATGCAACTGGTCAAAGGTTCTTCAAATGGATTTCTCTGATGGATACCCCAAAATGACCATTTAATTGAACAAAAATATGATTTACAAGTATTTAACTAGTGGATTTGGGGGTACCAACCAGTTTCGTCAATGTTTTTTGCCACAGAACCCTTCGCTCCTCCAGGGTCATCAGAGTCACCGCCACCCGACCTCCCAGCAGCCCCAAGAATAATAGGCTGGCCATGAGAGCATCCGTGCAGCTCCATATTCTCCAAGCGTGATCCAAATGGATCATTTCGCAACAGTCAGCCAGATCTCGGGAACCTGGAAGCATTGGAAGCATTGGAGATGGGGAAATCGCAAGAAAGATCACCACTTTTGTACAAACCTAATCAAACGTGGCTAGCTGGAAAATCCCAAACGCAAATGGAAGTTTCCATGGGAGAATCGATTATAAACAGGGGATTGTCCATTCCCCCGATGGCTGGACTTGGTTCCCATGGCCATGGTTCGCAGAGGTATCATTAGTGGGAGCAGATTAATTGAAAATGCATCCCCTGAGTCCCTGAGTCGTAGAGCGATCAGTGAATAATTGGTGGGGCGCCAAATTTAAAGAAAACAGAATGGCCGAAGTGGTAATTCCTTGGGGACCACACTTCTGACTTCACAACGGGAATTTTCAGATTTGCTATTTTTGCTATTCCTAATTACCAATCACAAGCTGTCACAAGCTGGAATGTAGTCTTAAGTATACCGGAAAAAAATCGGTTGGGCATTGTTTCCACATTTTTTCATGATTTTTCACGAAAGAAACACACCAATAAGCGACTACGGTCCAGTCACTTCACCCATGATCGTGAGATCCCCATTCTCGTTAAATACCTCCCCAAACCTACCGGCGGCCCACCCCGCAGGCAAGGATCATGGTTGTGTGTAGCTGGGTCTTATTTGGCCCCCTTCATATTATCTACATACATACAGCATACACACACATATTATATATATATTATGCCCGTCTTTGCACACACAAATAAAAACAAATAATTATATATATATATCATATTAGGAGAAAATCAAACTTGTATGCATATGTGTATATACATATATAATCATATATATATAATACGGTATACAGTGTTCAAGTGCCCCAGACTGTCGGCTCGATTTAGCTGCACAAGGAACTTGCACTTCACAAGTGACATCTTCGATGGAATCGTGACAACTCTTATGGAATCGTGACAACTTCTATGGAATTCCTATGTTGACAAAACATAATGAAACCCGTTAAGTTTTAGAAACCCTCCAAAAAGCACGTAAATACGTTATACCTTTTACCCATGTATATGTACATATTTGCAGACACATATAAATACATATACAATCATATACACAATGTATCATTATTATCATTATTATCATTATCATTATTATTATTATTGTTATTTGTTATTATCATTATTATTGATCGTTATTATTGATTGTTCTTATCACTGTTGTCATTGTTATGGTATTTATATATATATATATATTATCTTATGCACATGTCCAAATCATTCATATATATGTATATGGGTAAATTACAATATTTCACTAACCTGAATTAAGGCCATTTGGGGATGATTTCCCTTACTAACCATATATTCATATACAATCATACGTACATTTCCACAGATGCCCCAAGAATCCCAAGACCCATCACATCGCGGCACCAGAGGCCACCCGCTGAGTTGTTTCCTGCGAAGGTTTTCGCGGTTTTCGATGGGTTAGATAGAGAGATAGGTTATATACTTTAACCATGGTTAATAGTGATTAATAGTGGTTAATAGTGGTTATTAGTGATTAATGCCTGATCTAATGAATAATATATCTGGTTGGTGGTGTCAACCCCTCTGAAAAATAGTCAATGGGAAGGATGACAACCCATATATGAAATGGAAAATAAAAAATGTTCCAAACCACCAACCAGTTATTCAACATGGGTTTTATAAACAATGTTACAATATGGGTTATAGAATGCTATATAATGTTATATATATATACACTGGTTGGTGGTTTTAAGCATCTTGAAAAATATGAAGGTCAAATGGGAGTATTATTCCCAATATATGGAAAAATAAAAAATGTTCCAAACCACCAACCAGATAATGATACATAGATACATATATGTGCAGCTATACCTATACCTATACAATTCTATACATAGATATACAGACAGTAATATACTTATTGCAGTTGCAACGTCTAAATAGACATGTACATACACAGATATACACATGTTCTTAGTGCTATGCATACATGCGTATGTCTCTACGTATTCCTATGCATGCTTTCTTTAGCGGTGCATGTCGATTGTATTTGGGAAGTACGAAAACCTGAGAAGTCCAAGCCGATCCGTCAGTGTAGTTGTTACACCAATAACTCCCCTAGCATTCTGTGACACGATGCCCACGATGCCACCCCTTCCGTTTTTTACAAAGACCTCTAAAGGCGGCTTGGAGGATCATCCCACCATAACAACCCTGAATGGTAAGTCTCCAAGTCCGGAGTCTTCGCGAGAACTGGGTAGCAGCCAATCGCTCGAAGGCTTTAGCCAGTTGAGAATGTCAACCCCAAATTCAACATTAACATGGTGATTAATCCCAATAGGTTTTTCAATAATCACTAATAAACTCCCAGTTGAGTGATAAATTCGACTTCCAACTTGGTCCCACTCTTTGATAAATACTTCATCCTTAGTCACTTAGTCATCCCACGAGAGAATAACTTGTCAACTTGTCGTCCCGGTGGCTCCGGTGGCTCCGGTGGCTCCTGGTAAGACCAAAAGCCACCCCAGCTGCTCAAGACCATGCATGCGCTGATCACGATTGCCAGGTCAGTGGTCAAGGGAGGCAACCCCCCACAGTCAAAGTCCTGTTTTTTTTTGAGGGCGGCCTTTTTGGGATGCCTACCCTCTGGTAATGACTAACACTTTGCTACTAAAAATGGCCCAGTCCAAATAGTGGATTACCCATTAAAAATGGTGGATCTTTACATAGTTATGTTACTTTACCAGAGGGTAAAATCACCGTTTTCCTATGATTTTCCTTGATTTTCCATAGGGTATTGGATGACGGAAATCTCCGCCCCAACATATTCGGTCACCCTAAACCCAAAAGATCTTGGTGACATCTCGGCGCACCACATCTTTTTTAGGCCAGCCATGTGCGGGTAAAAAATCCACGATGCTTGACTCCAGGTGTTGTTTTTCGTGTTTTCTCCAATTGGTGAAATCCAATGTCCATTTTTGGTGAAACATGTACTTCCGTTCATTTTGCAAAGGTTACATGTTTGGTTGTCCGGTTGTCCGCGCTTCAACCCCCGCTTTTGTTCGTTGCGTCCCCTTTTCGTTGGTGAATATCCCAACATGGTTGAATCCCCATTTGTGTTGATGGATTTCCCATTAAATCCCATTAAAATGCCATTAAATGCCATTAAATCCCATAATTCCCATTAAATCACGATGAAATCACCATTCAATCCCATGAATCCCATGAAATTACCATTAAATCACCATGAAGATCATTAAGTGCCTTTTTTGTTGTTTCAACCGTTTCTATCCGTAGGCCTCATCGTTCACATCGCTGCTGTAGCGACTGCCAAGCCAGGCTGCTGCCAAAATCAAGCTGAAGAGCACAAACCAATGGTAGAGACGGGACACCTCAGGCCGAAGTCCTGGACAAACATAGTGACGTGCGTGCATTGAAGTAGTTTATGTGTATAATATATATATATTCATGAATTAAATATGTTTCTTTATTTATGTATGTATTTATGTATTTATTCATTTATCTATTTATTTATTCAATTACAGTATATACAATGTGTATACATATATATATATATATATGATGTTATGATGTGTATTCTATATATATATACATATTTGTATATTTCGATATGTATGCCTGTATGTATTGAGACGTGCACCTACCATCTTTTTGATTCCATGTTTTAGGTTGAACGTGTGTTGTCATTGGGTTGCTGGTGGAAAATGTTACGCTAACAGGTTGCTATTATAACACTAAATGCTGGTTATTATTGCGTTAAATGGTGGTGATTATAACGTTAAGTTGCGGGTATCATGATTACATGATGGGAAACTATGCTGTTAAATGGTGGTCGTTAAACCTATTTAAATGGTGGGAAAACATTACCTGTAAATGGTAGCTAGTATTACCGTGAATGGTTTCGTTAAATCGGACACTTGTTGCTTTCATTGAGGAAAATGATTGCCCAACAATTGACAAATGTTGGCCCAAAATGATTACGGTAACCCTCCCCGTTGACATAATGTTTGTCATGTTCTTTTACAGCATAAAATTCCCACAATGAAGTTGTGAAGAACAAAATTCACCCCTGGTCAAAGCAGGGGGAGAGAGCGTTAGAGGAACTGATAGGAACTGTAAGCTGTTTCTTGAGAATGTTTCTGTACAGTTGAGTGACTTTGCCTGTTGTTTTTGGGACCTCAGAAGGCAACGTTTGACGAAGTCCAGCAAGAAAGGCTGGGGAAGTTCAATGTCATCCCTGGTTGCAAATCAAGAATCATGAATAAAATCGAAAGGAAAACATGGAACGAGCCAAGACGGGCAAAAACCCATGGCATTCCGGCACTTGATCTATCTTGATCTAATAAAGGCCTTCGACAAGCATGATCTAGTTGTTTGACAAAACAAATGTTTCCCTCTTGATATATAGAGATCAGTACCTGTTGGGGGGTTATGGCGATGGTTAAAGGAGTCCAGCCCAACGAGTGGCGCCACACCAGCAATACCGTTGGTTTGCTCGACTCATCGGTGAGCCCAGGCTCGGTTTGCCCATCTTGTGCCACTGCCGCCCGGATTCCATATCTGCTCTGTTGATCAATCCTTTTCTGTCTAGGGACCCCCCATTCCGTCATATTCCATCGACTGATTAATCATTTCCCCCACTAAATCGCATTTGTTTCCGGGCTCATACTCAATCTCCACGCAGCCCCGCAGAACCAAATGATTACTTTCTTGGTGAAAAAATCGAAAAAGATCCCCTGCAATTTCAGACAAACCTCTACAATTTCATAGTTTCTCCCAGCATTTTCGAATGTAAAATCTGAACATCTTGGTAAAGATTAGTATTTATCCATTTGATAGAGGTTTTCTCTAAAGTATTTGTTGGTAAATCAGATCTGCAGGGTTGCTTGAACTCCCCTATCTCCCCTATCTCCAGAACGGTCCCAGGAACCATTCGCCGAGCCCGGAGCCGGAGTCGACTCCGGCTAGTGTCCTGGGAATTCCACCGACCGGCGAATGGTGATGAACAATGGATATATCATTGGGATATACCTATATAATATATGATAATATGATATATGGTATATAATATATGATAGATGATAGATGATAGATTATAGATGATAGATGATAGATGGATATTATAATGAATTCAAAATGATATATGAATAATTTTACCATATCTGTAAACCCGCTCCTGTGGTGATGAGAACCTGATGATTATGCACACCCCCATCAGATAGAACCCTCAACAATTCAGTGTTCGGACAATCGTTTGAATGTTGGCAAATTGCAATCATTCGGCCTAAAATATCCCAAACATGTTGATCATGTTGACCATTTGGGGAATGACGTCCCACACTAACCATCATAGAAATTTTATGAATTTTTGAGGTCGGCGGATGAAGTCGCCCTGTGTTGCGCCGAAACCCCAACGAGGGAGACGTCCCCTACCTGGTAGGCCACTGACGTGCAGATCAACAAATTGTCTCCGCTAGACCCGAGAGGTGTCTCCAGTAATCAAACATGGCTAGCTGGGAAATCATCCATAAACGGAGATTGTCCAGCTAGTCATGTGACTGATTACCGGTCGGTTTGCCACTGTAATAGGATACAACCCAAAATTTCACGTGATATTAACAACAAACCAAAGATTTCAGCACCCAAAATTGAAAATGGGTGGATTCACCGGTTCAACCAGCAAAGTGGGTACAAATGCGTTCAACATAACTGACAACAGTTGAATTCACCAGCAAGAAATAGCAAACCTGTCCCCCTCCAACTGGATCCCCTCTGCTGTTTCCTCTGCTTCCATCTGGACATCGAAGAGAGGCATCAAACCTCGTGACAAGGCGGGTGGGCTTTGACTTTCCGAAGGATCATTGAAATGGGGTATACCATGCATGGTCCCAAAAAATGCCATGCTAACAGGGAAAATGTGTTTTTAATTATTAGGTTCTTAGTGGGGTGCCCAACTTGAGGCGAGCACCCAAAAAAAAGATGCTGAAAGTCGGGTTTCCGGGATGGTAGCTCGATTATGTCTTCGGTACCTTTTTTCCCCGGTTTCCAACGTTTTTATTGCTTTTGGGGTTGCTATAGTTTATCCAAACATGATCATCTGGGATCCCCCTATTATTGCGGACCCTGACAGACCCCGGAACTGTTGATTCCTCCCATGTCCTGTTTCTTAACACCACTAGGCCTAGAAACCCGTCAACAGACATATGAAATGCTATGAATGCTCCATATCCCTCAAAATCAGCAGACTTACTATTTCAGAAAATCGATGTGATTTGAGTGGGATGGGAAGCCATATTCCATCATATTCCATAATATTCCATCATATTCCATGATATTCCATATTCCTCTATGGACATGTTAAAAAATGAAGGTTTATTTCAATGGGATTTAATGGTTCAAAGCATTCCTTCCCAGGTCAGCCAGGAAGCCCAAAGCTTTCGATGCATATCTCGCCAGAAATTCATGCAGCGGACTGGGCACAAAACGGGACCATCGGAAGGATAAAACCACCCTTTTCGTTCAACGGGACTTACGTTAAATGGGACTTGCCTACTGGTAATTTAACATGGCTTTATATGGCTACTGTATATATTATTTATGCAAAGTGGCCCATTTAGTTTGATGATTTACCAGTGGGACCTAGTGGTGATGTTCCATATGTCATACCCATGTTGGAGTATCAGCAGATGGGCCGGGATCTCCCATTTATAGCTGATTTTCCCAGCTATAAACCTCCATTTATAGTGGATTTCCCAGCTAGCCATGCTGCCAGAAAATAGATGAAAATAGATTGAATTTCTGTCGTGATTTTGATCTGATACTTGTTCAAGAGATGTCGCATTTTTTCTACCCAGTGTTTTGAAACTGCACGTGGGCTCGAAAAAAATATCGCTCCCCATAGGCTATTTATGACACCATCCTCGCTCCTTGGCTCCTCCAAAAGTGGTTGATACTGGACATGGTCTCTTCTTCAATCAGGAGAATGATTTTGATAATCCCTATGACCATCCCTTGCTACGAGTTCATAACTTAACCCAAAAAAATATCGTCGGTTGCTGATACAGCTAGATCAGCTAGTTGATAGCAGGGACTGAAATTGGAAACATAGCCATTTTGGAGAACCTCCTATCTAATCAACTCGGACTAGCCACAAGGATTTGGTCCGATTCATGATGGTTTCCCTGAGGTCAGCGTCTGAAAGTGAGCAATTATACCTGCAATTGCAACAGCGAAGGCAATTATATAAGAAGTGGATGTGGGAGTGCCCTACCTTTTTTCGACATGCCCACGTGTTAATCATCATTTTATTGGACTAGGCTGTTGGCCCGCTCTTCGCCCACTACAGCAACCATTCGCCAGCCCGAAGCTTTCCCGGGTTTCCAATCTGTATATCAACAACACCCAACTTGCTGGGATACAAAGTAATAAGTATTATTTCACCGCAAATTCAAACGATGCCCCAAAAATATCTCCAAAAATGGTGAACTGAACATCCAAAGAACACCAAAATTATATATGTTGGCTACAGGATACTCTCAAAACCACCATTTCAAGGGATGCTGTTCAGATTTGTTCAGTCCCTCAGGGGGCACCTCAGCCACAGCCAGCGGCTTTCGCGCCGTTCTTGGCTCAGCGACTCCGTTTCAACGTCAAGAGCTTCGAGCACAGGTGGGAACTCCTGGAAGCCAGTCATGGAGTGGGCTTCCCAACTCCTGGACCCAGAAAAACAATACGTTCCGACGGTGTTTCCCTGTTTGAAAAATCACCATTTTGGAGGTACCATGGATTTTTTCAGACACTTTTGCTGGTGATTTTGAGGACGGATTGAACCATCCAAAATTGGCGGAGACACCAAACTCCATGTCATCCGAGGGCTCACACACAGAAATTTGATGCAAAACCAGCAATTTATGCAGAACCTTATATACTATGTCACTATGTTTTCTTATAATAGGTTGGAGCCTTAAATGTCATCCATTTCTGAAACATCATTTGAATTGTCTGGGTTTGGGTCAAATTTGGGTACCCAAAAGATGTTTTTTTCACAAAAAATGAACCAAAATTATATCGACCCATTCCCATTTGTATTTGCGGGTTTCCTAAAATATGGGTACCCAAACCATTGGTTTTCCCAGTGTTTTTGTTTTACCAATTTTGGATGATTTTGGGGTACCCAAAATTTAGGAAACCCCCATTTATTACTTTACCCAAATGCTGTCCTTCTCAGCCTCATCGTTTCGCTCATTCCGTGGCGATAAGGCTTCCATCAAGCCCCTTGAGAGCGAGGTAGCGAAACGTGGGACGAAAAAAACAAAATCCCACAAGGGGTCTGCCTTTTTAATGCTGGGTTAAACCATGAGTTTGGGGATACAACTGGGGTATCATGGGATGCATCTATATATATATATATATACATATATACTAACATATACTAACTATGTGGGATTTGGCCTTAAAAATGCAGGTTGTATTGGCATGCATTGGCGTTCAATCTTCAGAAATGGTGCCTATAACTTATAGCGGTTTAATTGGGGTGAATGCGGATATGGGTCCGAACAGAAATGGGAAATCTTACGAACAAACTGGCATAAAATCAACCATCGTAGCGAATATCTTATGGGGTTTTATTTGGAGAAGCAACACATTCTCAAATGAGTTCCAACCAGTCCAGTTGATAGCGGAATAGTCACCATGGCATCTATCCCAACGGCTATGAGCTGCAGCTGTCATGCACATGCAGGATCATGCAAGTATTAGCACGCTTTGTCAAATGTTGGTTCACAGTTTGTTTCAGAACGATTTCATCTTGTTTTCGCGAAAAACGATGTGATGATATAGGAACAAGCACATTGTCATAATCAGTGATATACCAATGAATGAACTTACTCAGTAATCAATGTTTGTCCAGTGAGCCTTCCTCACTTTACAGGGATTTTTGCTGTGTTTCTCTTCGATTCTCGGAACCACCAGTGCCTGAATCTTTCTCCGGGCCTCTCTTGGACGCGGAAGACTTCCGTCAAATTTCCTGCTATGTCATGGTAACAAACATGGCAGGCTCAAAAAGCGCACTTGTTGAGCAGGAGAATCATATTATATATATATATACGTATACACACACATATCATTTTAAATTGCCAGGCTAGACATGGCATGACATGGCTAGACTATCTATACTCAAGTACAATAGGTCCAGAGTCATGGTTACACCCCGAATACAAGTGGGACAATGGGATAAGTTTGATTGGGAGACCGCTAAAAAACTAGGATGTACATCAAAGTCATTCCAATAGAAACCAGTGGTATGCTTCAGAAAGTCCATACCCTTTGTGAACTTGTGATTCCTCAACTGAGCCGAATTCGTTGCATAATATTGGATGTTCATCTACACCATTCCAGCCAAACAAATGTGAAAATGAAGCTGTGGGATTTACGGCTTTCCAGCAAGAAAGGCCTGGCCCACCAAAACATGTTGCCCTCTGATTAGGCCATAGTTCCAATCAGAAGTGAGACCCCGGCTGTAGGATGTTGAGTCAAGAAAATGTTGGCAACTTTTCCCTGAAACCTAAAAATCTCAAAAATCCCAAAGAAAATGGGACGCTGGAGCATCATCTTCGCTACTTTTACCTGGTCGTGTGGATTCAACCCATGGGTAATTACCGCAGGTCTTGTCAGCAATGATCATCCACTTCGATGGACCAAGCATCAGTTTTAATCAGACAATCAGTACAATCTACACTTGTCCTGGCCTTTCCATGGTGTTCCCAATTCTTCACAGAAATATATATATATATAATTATTATGCATACATATAAATGTAATTATATATAATTATATATTTATATTATGTAATATATATATAATGTAATATATATATATATATAATATATATATATATTGTTATTATGTAATATATTATATATAGTGTAATATATATATATATATTATGTAATATATATATATATTACATAATATATATATTAAAAAATATTACATTATATATATTACATAATATATATGTATATTGTGTAATATATATATATATATATATATATTATGTAATAAATATATATATTATGATATATATATAGATTATGTAATATATATATATATATTATGTAATCTATATGTATATTATAATATATATATATTATTATATATAATGTAATTAATATATATATATATATTATGTAATATATGTATTATGTAATATATATATATATATATTATGTAGTATATATATATATATTATGTAATATATATAATGTAATATATATATATATTATGTAAGATATATATATATTATGTAATATATATATACATATGCATATCGTACATTACATGTGTATATATATATATACATACATTCACTTTTAGCAATATCCATTGATTCTCTCCACTTCCAAATATTGTTTTTGAGGGGCCCAAAGCGTCCAGATTTTTCGTCGGCAGAGACGACCTGAATAGATGGCTTGATTCAACTTTTCCGAGGATGGACAGAAGCGTCCGGACCTGGACAAAGGATTCGATGGTGATGCGATGTGCTGGGGACATCAAGCAGTAATTTACTAAAGAGTTGTCCACTGAACCAACTCTGTCCCCAACTTCACAACACACAATGAGACTTCACCAGCAAAATATGAGCAGATCACCAGCAAAACACTTGGAGGTGTCCATGTTTCCTAAGTCATGGGGGTACCCCCGAATCATCCAAGTCATGAATGACCATGACTTAGTATTGAAACCTATGTTGACTTGGGGATTTCCATGACTTAAGAAACCCCCACAGGACCGAGATTGGGGGTTGGCCTTCTGTCAAATCTAGACTGGTTGATTCATAAGGCTTCCCATGGTGGATTATGATACTCTGGCTGCGAAATCCTGCAAAACCTGGGGTTGAAAGCCTGGGATCAGCCACCAACTGGTGCAGAAATTGGCAACCATCCACGAATTTTTCCCCAGAAACCCGGTACTAAAACCCCAAAGAAGACGATTCTGATTTAAACTCTCAGATGTGTTGGTACCCTCTGGTCATGAAAACCATAGCCATGCAAAATGGCTCCTCTAGTTCGCTGACTTACCTATCATTTTAATGGCGAGGTTCCATAGAAAACTGGTCAATTACTACGTAGAGAGTATATCCCAATAAGATCCATTGAGTGGATTATAAGATATCATGACCCTATCAAATTCCAATGTTCATGGATTCTAATCCCCATTTCTAGATGATCCTTCCATATGTTGAAAAATGATTTTCCATTATGAGCACATCCCCCATTAAAATGGTTGAATCACTGCCGCCCCCACCTAGCACTGACCATGTTCACCATGCTGCTGGACTCCTCGTGGACATCTCGGACAGTCGGGGGCCCTGTTTTTGCCGCAAAATCATAGGCATGTGTGAAGCGCGTACGCGACCCGATAAGACTAGTGAAGTATCAACCATATGTGCTTTTTGGCCGCAAAATGATGGGTTTTGTTGTAAATTACTGTGGCTCCGACTCAACTCAAGGCCTATTTTGTGGACATTCAACAAGCATCAAGGGTTTGTTGTCCATGTTTGGGTCCAGACTTCCCAGAAAATCTCGCCATTCCATTAACAAAGTGGATGATCTTATGATCTGTTGATGATCTAAACTTCAATCCTGTTCCCCTTGGGCTGTTTTGGATGCTTCCTCCAATATTGACATGGGGGGTTCGAGCCCGAGTCATGGTGATGTCCGCGATGATCCGATCCGATCCGTTGGCTGGTCACAAAGAGTCTTCGTTGACCGACTGTTTGTTCAAATACCCTCCGGTAAACAAACATGGCAATTGGAAATACTGTATAAAGTGGCAGTTTAAATTGGGAAATCATCTTGAAATTTTACACCGCCATGATTGTTTTTTTTAGAGGGTGATCAGAAATCATCAAATGTTGCGTCAGATGAAAAGTGTCGAAACCCAATTTTTTTCCACCCAAGAAGTCCCAGCTGAGTTGATCAGCCAGGTCCATCACAGGGTTAGTCTCCTCTGGGTTCGACAGTACCTTTCTTGGAGCATCCTTGGCAGCACACCCACCCCAAAAACCCCGTGGATTGTGTGAAGCAACCTGGACCACCCAACTACCTGATATCCAAAATCAGTTTTTCAAATTGTTCTTTGGGATCCAAACTCATGCGTTTAGTCAGTCCTGACAAGACCTTCACAAACAATAGTGGGTCATGCTCCCACATTTCAACGCTTGAAGAAATAATGATGTTCTGCTTTACAATCATCGGAAGCATCGACACATCTTGACACCCAAATCTTTCCTGTTTGAATAATTTTGAATACGTATAGCCCCACTTACGCAGATCACATAGATCATATATAACTGATATTTTGACCAATTCTCCCAGGAATCGACGCCCAGGGACAACAAGGTCACTGTTGGAAGAAATGCGTTTGGTCAGTGGGAACGCCCGTTCTGGGGCCTCGGTGACACCGCCAAAGGGGCGGCCTAGGCATTGTTTTTTGTGGGTACTAACCACATGAAATAAGCCACATACATGTGTATACATGGACCTCCAGTTATATGTGGGTCACTTTTTTTTCTGCCTAGCCTACAAACCACTAAACAAATGCACGTCCAAGGCATGCTAAAGTAGATAGCAAACCCTCAAATTCTCGTTTTAATATGTTCAGTAGAAGCCTTCCAGGATGGGCAGTGGAAGGGAAATCATACAGCACATCATCCACTTGGTGCTTCCACCCATTCAAGAAATATGACACTGACAGTAAATTTCTTGATCATCCAATCCCAATATATTCGGAATACAACTCAATAAATAGATGAAGTGCTGGAAGCGCCAATGACCCATCTGCTGTCCTTGGAACATCCCACGAATCGAAACGGAACATCATTCAGGCAGCTTCACAAGGTTTCCAGTTATCCCATCTAGGGAACGAGGTGAAGAATCCCACATCTGCCAAGCATCTAGGACCACAGGCTCAAAGGCAGGCCTGTTGATTCGGCTGGTTTCTCCAAAAAATTGGGGGGAGAAAAAGAACAAAATCCAGTGATTGAAAGGAAACGAACGCAGTTCCCCACCAAAAGAGTGTTTTTTTTGCATAGTTTTGGGATGTTTTGTGTGATCCAAAAGTGGAACGTCATTGCGACATCCCTATGGATTTCCGCAAATTTTCCATCACTGCAATTTTGGGGTCCCAGGTGTGGGCGAGTGTGGGTTCGAAAGTTGGGATTTAACTCCCAATAAAGATTCAAGTATATTTAGGAATTTAGGGTTCTCAGTGCTGAAGTCCATGTTATGGTGAGAATGGAGGTACGCTGGGTTCATGTGATCAATATACTGTATTATATGTGTATATATATATATATACATAATATATATATATATATGAGATAGGCTCCCAACACCCCAAATACAATGGGAATATCAACAAAAAATGGAAAAACATCATAGAAGGTACAAAATCAAATGGGTATACGGGCATGTCCAAACATAGAGCTCCTGAGGTTTAATTGCGGTGATTTCAATTAGGAATCTAATGATAAACCGTGGGATGGAATGGGGGACCTTGATTTAGGGTCAAAACCATGAGGTCTTGGGGTCAAAAATCATGATGCCCTGATCACATCCGAGAATACCTTTGCGAGAACGAAGAAGTTGTCCGGATGTGTTCCATGAATTGTTAGCAGTTGTTTACACATTCCATGGTAAAAAATTGTATATGAGGTATGGTCATCTGTCTCATGTTGGGATTTTTTCCAATGTTCAAATCCCTCTGAACATGGATTGATCACCAACAAGAGCACTTCAAGATATTCAAGTTTGGACCATGGCACAGCCAAGTGAGCCAAGTGGTTTTTTGGCCACTAAGCCATCAACGTTGCACCCGCCATGCTGCCAAGCAACGCTCCGGGTGCCGCAGGTGCCGCAGGTGCCGCAGGTGCCGCGGGCGCCGGGGGTTCCGGCTGGGCCAGGCAGACCGTCGACGCTTTTCTGTTTTTGGTGCGGGGTTTCTTCGCAGAACCCGGAGCGCTGTGGCCACCTACCAAGAGATTTGGCGTCGGGGGAGAAAAGCCTGGACTCTGGATCTGTCTGAAAATTGTTTGGCGGAAAAAAACATTCACTCCAATGGCGAATCAGCATGTTCCCTACCGGTATATGTTAAAATAAATAATATATATATATGGTTGTTGATCAAAATTCCTTTATCCCGGAACGGCCGTTCTTCGCGAATAAAAAATTTACTTTCGCGAAACTTTCACGAACTCCATGTTTATCTTTCGCGGGGCCCATGTTGGCCAACAACACCTCTTATGAAGATTCGTTCACCACCTGCCAAATTACGCCAGAGAATCACGGATCACTTCTTGGTAGCCTTTTAAACATGCAGCTAGCATCACGGAATCCCTTCTCAGGACAGACTTTTTTTGCAAAGTTTACTGGCCCACCCCCTTCAACATGCACTTTGACTTTCGCCCGCTCTTTCGCATAACTTTCGCGGAACTTTCGCGAAAATATCCCTATTCACAGACCCCGGCCATCAGCAGGGGGTGCACTGAAGGAAAAGCGAAGACCAGGGGCCTTGGTGTTTGGCTCTCGCAAAGCCTCACTTTTGGAAACTTGACTACTGCTACTCGCATTTTCTGGTGCCCTTCTCCTGCCGGACCCCGGGCGGCAGTGGGTGGCAGCCCTTTACATAATGATTATAATACCCAACTTTCGCGAAATAAAATTTTACTTTCGCGAACTTGAAAAAAAACTTTCGCGAGGGTTTCCAACATAACATGCACGGCTTTCGCAATTAAAACTCCTTATCGATCACCATATATATTTGGGTGGCTACGTCAACTCCCATACTTGGCTCTTGTCAGGATGATCCTACAGTATGCCCCCAATTGTCTAAGAAAAACAACAGAAATGCGAAATCTGAAGATCACATGTGGAAGTCAAAGAATCCAAGTGTGGGGCCAATGATCTTCGACTTCAGGACACAATGAGGGTTTTTTTCATGAGTCCACAAGATAGCTTCATGGTTGAAAACATGATTGAACACAAAAAACAAGCGTGAGGCCTGGATACCACGCGTCGAAATGTCAAAAAATCACCCACAGTATAAAAACTTCCCGCAATATAAAAAGTTGCCATCGGGGCACGTCGTTTTGGCATGTCGACCGGCGCACTTACGTCGTTTTGGCATGTTGACGGGCACACTTACTATTCTTCTTGTTTTGGCATCGCGGGGCGTCGTTTTGACATGTCGGCGGACACAATTTCTTGGCATGTCGGCGGACACCATCGTTTTGGCATGTCGGCGGACACTCTTTTGGCATGTCAACGGAGACAATCTTGTTTGGCATGTCGACGGGAACAACCCGCTTGGCATGTCGACGGTCGTTTTCGCATGTTGACGCGTCATATCCCGATGAGCCTTATTAGGAGATTCTTCTTGAATCTTGGGAGATTCCCTCGGTACCCAGGATTGCGAGCAGAGCTGAAAAGCTGAAAACGTGCCACTTAGTACAACAAGAGATCACATTGTCTGAGATTTGTACGTATGGAAAATTGAAGACAAACGGATCTCACAACTAATTAATCCTCAGGCTACCTCCAAAAGGTGAATTTCTGAATGCCAGCAATTTCCATCAATTTCCAACAACCAGCAGACCACCAGTGAGGTCAGGTTTCACATGGTTGAACATCCGATCCCCGCCTAAATACGCTGGGATCATTTGGCCAATGTCCATCCTGCGCATAGAAATCCAGTTATGCTGATCTGGCTAATTTTTGCCCGGAAATCCATTGGATAATCATCATTGTCCCTAGTGAATTTTTGTGTTTTTTGGGATATGCCCCATTTTCAGACCCAAATTGCAATATTTATTCACCAACCTAAGGCCATCTAGAGATATTGAACCATGACCTCCAGTGACATCGACAAGTAGTATCAAGTAGCCATCAAATTGTGGCCGTCTTCTCAGACAAACCCAAACGTGCCATGGTCGTCCATCCCATTTCGGAATCCAAAGATTTCATTGGGTTTATCCCCCAAGATCAATGGATCAATGACCATCAATGGATTAAATAATGGCTTTATGAATCCAAACATAATGGGTTTATAATATACCATATCTATATCCATAAAGTTTATAAATCCCTACCGATGGATTGATGACCATCCCCCTATTAAAGAGCACTTCATCCAATGAAACCCAACACAAGCACTTGACCTGCAAAACTGCAAAAGCATCCAATGTGGGTTGCTGCTCGGAATTTCCCATCCTTCTCCAACCAAACCACCCTGCTCTGTTTCACATCAAGCTACAAAAATGCAGTCGTCACAACTTTTCGGTATGTCTAAAACCCAGCCCAAGCGTCAGCCGCGAAAATAGAGAATCCATCTACCCTCTGGTCATTTAACAGAATCTAACAGTAGCTTTGGAAAATGGCCCGTCTGTAGATTATATACCTTATGCTTATGCCCGTCTTGGGTCCAAAAGCTGCCGCACTGGTGAACCGAAGTGCCTTGTTTTTTAATGCTATTCCAAGCATGGATTGCAATGATCCCTTAAAAGATTAAAGCTTCGTAGAACCCCAATAAATCCACAAATATGAACAATAAAACCAATCGGATTTTGACACTGCCTATCTCTTGTTGGCTACACGCTGACAAAAAAACAATCAAACATGATCCAAGCACTACACCTACTACAATACCATTTCTGGCGGGGTGGGGGGCACAAAATCTGTTCTGCGTCCCTCGAAAAAACTCTCTGTCGTCATGGCTAAACTTAGATACTCTCCATTGACTTACCCTGTCCCGTCGGCATACCGTGCACCAGTGGCCATTATATGCTATTATATCCTAGAATTTCATGGTTGAGAAATCCACACCTTTGTTGGTAAAGTTCCAAAGTTCAATTCCAAACCACCAACCAGTATATTTATATAGCCACGGAAAATTACCATTTTTTATAGGTAAACCATCTATTTCCATGGGCCATTTATACCATGGCTATGCTGAAACCTCACCGAGTTTTACCCGATAAACTCACCGAGAAACTCGATCGCTTCTTTGGCCGGCGCACCCAGCTTTCGAGCAAGCTGCGCGTCGGTTTTTAGCGCTGGAACCGGTCTTTTGGGCTTGAAAGCATCGAAAAAACCAGCCCTGCTTGGATCTGCATCCTAGCTAGTGGGTATAACATGGTATAACCATATTACAAGCTAGTCATATGTGGGATATACATGGAGATACCCCGGTCAGTTTCACATGGGTTAAAAAAAGAACCTACCAGTTGGGATGCACACCCAAGTGGGCAACGACAATATCTAATTGTGTTTGGCGACTTGCCTGAAAGGCGTAAAGTGGGGTTCCACTGGCATTGAATGGACGCACAAAAAGGCTACTCGGCTATTCATCAGTACGACCTTGAAACCATCCTTGTGGAGTTGACCATTTTCAGCCCCTATTTCACCGAGCTAAAGTATCAAATGTTGGTGCTGTTCCTGCATCAATCACCATTTCTGGTGTGAAACTGCGGCACATGGCCATGTGATATGAGGTATCTCCAGCGAGTTTGATGAACAACTTTGTTTCTGGGGATTGGAAACCCAATGAGAAAGCGACCGACAGCAAAATGCTGTCTCAAACTACCAGTGATTTCTCGGCCGAACAGCAGCCATAGTGGAACTATAGATGCGGAACTATGGAACTAGTGATGGACAAACCGTGGCTGCCATACCCAGTAGTCACGGCCGATTGCCCTTCAAAAAAATGAAGTTGTTACTTCATTAGGTTCATATACTCCCGTCACAATAGCAAAAACCAAAGACGGATAAACACTGTGGATTGACAGTTGGACTCCCCAGTCATTGAATGGTTAACTGTCATATCATGTAAATATACAGATAATATACCTATCTATTTTGGGGTGAATATGGTCCCATTTAGTGATGAAGAATACCCCATCGAATGATGGGCAAAAAATCAATGCCCATCCAGCTCACCGTTTGGTCTGCCCAACTCTCCCATTCCGCATTCCTTCTCTGACTACATCCTCGTGTTTCTTGATTCTTAGGGGTATTCCCAAAGAGTGCTACCTGGGTGTGCATTCCAAGTAAGAAGTGGTTCATGACTACATAGACATCCTATAACTGGGGTATATTTGTATATCCAGCTAATCCAATTGGCTTCTAATAAACATCCCTGTGGAACTACCCCGCAACACCCCGCAACCATTTGAGCAGTGTTTATGTAAATCCCTCAGTCATTCCATTGTACTGCTTGGTTGATAGGGGTTCGTATCATGGATGATGATCATCCCCACTATATCGGATAGAAGCAAAGCCCCTAGCATCATGAACCATAATTCATCAGTTCTCTAAGCATATTGCGCTCTACAAAAACACAAAAACATAATTGTTAAATCCCTATAACCCTCCAAGAAGTCAACAGTTTGCTGTGGAAACCATGGCCCGTTCCGGTCGACGACTTAACCTTCTTAGAACCTAGAGGATTTTCCACAAATAGAACTTGTCAGAAGCTATGACCATGGCGAAAAAAACAAATATATATATATATATATATCACTTGTATATCACCTAATAATTGTTGATCCTTAAACACCCTAAATGATGATTGGATCCCCATGAAACTCAGGGCTTGCACGTAGCCATCATAGCCAGTGCTCGGTTTCCCACCTGACTGGAAGTCCCAGACAATTCCATGGAATGCTCTGACGGGCGCCGA